TTTATATATTTTATCTTTTTTTCGCACGAGATTATTTGTGCTGTCATCGCCGTACTTGACGACGAGGAAAACTTTGTAAGCAATTTTCCTTCCGTTGCTTTTACAAACCGTGATTTTCGCTACGAGCGTCGAAACGTAAATTTATGACAAACAAAACTCATTAATTCAGAAATTCACGAAATTATTCGGAATGAAATTTACGACAGAAATTGTACTCAAAGCAATAAAAACATGCATCGGAAACGGCAATAAACCAAACTGACATTGGGAAGAAAATCAATGAAACAAACAAGCTTAAGACCTATATATAGATAAAAACTATATTATAAGCTGGAAATTTAAGAGAGAGTGACACACGGATTGATGTACGGAAACATTTTCAGATATACGCTTTAGAATAAGATCATAAAAACTTCAGTTTCACTTTCTCTTGTTTCTTTAAATAGTTTTCCTAAAGATAATTATTTGCCAGGGAAGAGTTAATGCTGGTGAAAGAGAGGCATGCTAGTAGCTTCACCAAACCGTATGATAGTGAGGGATAAGAACCCTGAATAATTAACAGTTATCACGCATTGGAAAATTTATTTTTTAATTTTGAGAATGAAAGAGTAATTCACATCAAAAGAAACAGAAATATATCTATTTGTAAGAGATTACTAAATTAAATGGATGTGAAAGTTTATCACTCAAAGGTGCAAAAAAATGCAACTACATTCGGTTATGAAAAAGAGATGATTCATAAACAAACTAGTCTTATAATATTCGCTCAGAATCAGCCAACTAGCTGCTATCGTAAAAACGTTCATAACCCAACTTTCACAGCAAATTAATGAGCACGTAACAAAAAATTCGAAAAGTATTAAATTCGCATTACTCATTTCAACTGTGCTTCACTGGCGCCAGCGAATCAAGTACCTGCAGAGAGTTTACGACTGCTGCTTTTATGCACATAATTTAATTGATTTTTAATGCAAGTTCTGGACTTTTGCGGCTCCGACGAAAATAAAAGCACCAAATCATAAAGTGTGGAGATTACCAGTTAATAGCAAAGAGGCAGGTTGTTGCTCTCGTCTACTCAAGCAGTCATCAAACACAATTAAAAAGAAAAGAGGGAGATAACGATAAAGGGATAATTCAAAGAGAGGCGAAGAGAATGCGTTTGCAAAAAAACATAAAATTGTCGAAAAGTTTATTAAAACACCATAAGAAGAATACTTCATGTCTGGCATACTGTATTTACATACGAAGGAAACGCAGTCGAGCACCTGCACTGCGGCAGTAACTGGTTTATTGTCAACTTCTGCCTGTTTGCTTCATTTTTTTGTTTATTGGAAATTGTCGCCTCGTCGCCTTTTAAGTGCAAATTTTATTAATGATTTCGTTGCACATTTCGCAGCACAACTTTTTGCTGTTCAAACTTTTATTCATTTACTGCACTTTGCAGCTCTCCAGCGCAGCTTTAGTTTTCGTCATGGCCCATCGCATATTCTCCTTTGTAGTGCATTGCCGATTCAACACTCAGTAAACGCTGCTTACTTTTTTCTCTCTTTCATATTACAGCGCAGAAAGTTTTAAATCATGCTCTGTATACATACTTGTATTTTTAGGCATTGAAAGTTTCACCTTTGACCTGATTTCGGCAACGGTAATGACTTCGTCGGCACAATTCAGCTTAATTACCCGATGACATAGAGATTTCTACAGAGCTAAACTTTTATCTCTTCAACATACACACAAACAATTAAATCTTTTTGCATACATTTAGGCGCACTGACCCGTAAAACTGTTTTAAATCGTCAAGTCGCATTGGGTTAAGTAAAGCTTTCTAAAAAGTGTTGGGTATTAACAGTAAAAATATATTTAAATTTATTTTTAAATTTTGATCCGAAGATTTGGGTTGCAGGTATATACACACATAAATGTATATATATATATATACATATTGTATTTTGTTTGGTATTTTTGTTTTTTTAGGTGCTTAACGTCGTAAGTATATATATATATATATATATTTTTTTTTTTTGGGTCTAAAGTCGTATTTTAGTAGCTTTCTTTTCTATAATTTCTATAGAACATGTGAGTCGTACTTACTACAGCACCACCGAACAAATAACTTCCAAAATTAATGCAACTTATCTTGTTTCAGAAGTACCGGGAAAGGATCCAGTTATTTCCGGCATAAAGTCACGTTATCGTGTTGGAGACATAGTTCGTGGCAATTGCACATCGCGGCATTCCAAGCCAGCGGCAAATCTAACGTGGACCATAAATGGACGAGAGGTGGGTGTATGTGCAATTAATTTCGAATTTAAAAAATGTACACAAAGCTTACAAAATAATACGGAGAAAATACACGGTATTATTTGACATAAATTATAGGGTATTTCAGTAGACAATTAATGTTATTAAGATTACTTTGGTACCGCATAACTCCTCGACCTCGAAATCTGTGCAATTTTCGAAATTCCCTACTATTTGCTCAAAAAGGAACGGAATTTAATGGAGAGCATAGCTAGAAATACTATAACCTTTAAAAGAGAACTATTTCGACATAGTTCGGTACTTAGTATTGTTTTGGACCTAACATTTAATCAATTCTCGCAATGAGAGAAATAATAGTGGCAATAGTTATTATAATATTTAAATAGAAATCACTATAACATAAATCTTTCTAATTCGGCAACAAATATGTGCGCTCAATTAAATTTTGTTTACCTACCGCCTTTTGGGAGCTGTTTACTCGCATTTAAATACTTGGACATACAAATTGTAATTACATGCATTTCGAAAGTTATGTAAACTTTACTAAAAATTAAATTCAAATGCGCATAATTAATGGCGTGTGCGATTGCCGGGGTGCAAAGTGGCAGGCAATCAACATTTCGGACTTAATATAAACGCTTTGTTAAACAGTTATAAATATTTAAATATCCGAATTGGTTTGTACTTGTTCATTTACACACTCAAACTGCTGCAAAGTATGTGGAAAATTCGGGCAAATTTAAATTAAATACTACTCACGTACACACACACACACGCACTTTAATGCAGAAGAACTGTGCTGCATAATTGTTTAATTGTGATTTGTGGTAGTTAAAAGCAAAAGTTGCAGAGAATATTTTGTACACCTAGTACGTAGTAATTGTTTTTGTTTGTGTTGCATGAAAATTTCGGTCCGCAAAAGTTTCCGCCGGAGCAAGTATCAGCTGCATGTAGTGACTTCTTTCGGCTAATTTGCGAAATCTGGTTCCACTGCCTAAATGCAAATATGCAAAATGCTGCAGCTCAGAGCAACACACGTAACCAAGCTCTGTACGCCCTGGCGTAGAGGCATGGGCACGGTGGTCACACCGCTGACACGCCTTAATGTTCCGGCCGGACATTAAGCATAATTACAGGCACATGATGTATGTAATAGTGGCGAACGAAGGCAACAACAGCAACAACAATGTGCAGCCGACTGCAGCGAGCAGTTTAGACGCCACTGTTGCATACAACACGTAGTGCAACCGCAGCAAACATGTCACAACAATTTTAACATACGCCACATAAGCACACGGTCACTTGCGCGCGGCAGCTTACATGTGTGGCGCAAAACTCTTCACATGTAAAACACATTACCGCAAGCCCGCATGGTGGCAGGCAACAGTTGCCGTACGCCTGACAAAACTTTGGCTGCAACCGTCACACGCACACGCACACACAATCACAAACGACTGCATCTCCATGTTTTAGCAGCATTATTTTCCTAGTGTAGCTGCACATAATTTTTACCTCGGCCATTACTTGCCCCGCGTCGCACACTGCTTCCAGATCTACCGGCACATAAAGCACACCTTCGCTTCGTCGCAAACCGCAAATTTTCACTGAGGCTCACATGACTGCCAGCTGCCGACTTTATGCTTGTGTGCGAGTGTGCTATATATGGCGTGTCCTCGAGTGGGAACCACATAGCTGTCCCTGAAAACTTAGAGCTGTGCTTGCACTAACTTGGCGTAATTGGAGTCTACAGGGAATTAAAAGGATTTACAAAGCACAGGCGGTCAGAGAGTAAGTTCAGAAGGTGTTGTTGTTTTTCATGTGTTGGCAGTTTCAGAAATCTAAAGTTGTGTCTTTCAAAACTGTTTCGATAAGGGCATATGAATAAAAGGGATCAATTTTTAGTCAAGGTATAAAATATGACCCATATCGTTGCTTTTAAACAGCGCAGAAGAGATATAAATTTGTTCCTAGATTAATAAAACCATCTTTTATATTGGTATGAAATTTGAATTCGATACCTCAATCAGTGTGTGTTTGGCAGCTCTCTGTTTAGGACGCGAAAAAGTCTGTCTAGCGGTTTTTACCAGTTAAAAAAATTTAAAGAAGTTGTGTAAAATTTCGAGTCGTCCGCCCGCCTCTGTTAATGACTCAACATACTTTGGTTAATATTTTGGATATGAAGCGTGTCACTGCTAAGCTCGTACCAAAAACCTGAATCTTTTGCAAAAATGACGTCGAGTAGAAATAGCAAAAAAGGTGTTTGGCAACGCGAACTTATAAGTTTGGGCGCGAAAGTGTTCAACAATCTAGCGAATAACGCTCCAAAAAATTAGGCGAAAGCAAAAAAAAAAAACAAATTCGCAGAAGGCTCTGAACGCCATCCCAGCCGATGCTTAAAACAAATGTCTTACAAATTCGATTAAGCATTAGCATGCTTGTCCTGGCTCAGCATTTGTATTAGACTACGTTTTTTGTCAGTCCAGGTTGAATTTGAAAATATACAGTTTTATTCTCATATAAATAAAACCCATCTTCTAATCATATTTGTGGAGTGTGCTTTGCTGTTACTTGATAGGCCTAATATTGAGAGCAATACACTCGGAGATCAGATGTGACTTGCCATCGAACAGTCAGCTTTAGAGAAAACATATTTTTTTCCGCATTGTTTCTTGGTAGGTTTTTGAAAATACCCCGCGTGGTAGTCCCATACTCGGCGCTTACGAATGGAACGAAATATTATCCTAGAAGATGTAATAACACAGCTCGATTCTAAAAATGTGTTACAATGAATGGCGTTATACAACAACACAATGTCTAATATCAACATTTGTATTTAACAATAAATAGGAATAAAGAGCTTAAGAATTGAGTTTTTAACTCTCCGCATTTTACAAAGCACACACGAAACAGCTTCCCACAGGAAAATAAATTTTCTCAACTAGTAACCATATTTTATATTTGTTTGCCACTAAAAACTTCCGCCAAATCCCATTGGACGCCCACAGTTGCACAGCTACGCACTCCACTTATATTTAAAAGGCCAAACTTTGCATCCATAGATGCGCTCGTGAGCACTGTTTACCTACGCTCGCAAACTTATATCCACGACGCAAGCGACACACACACATGCGCACGAACTACATAAAGCTAAACTTGGAAGTGCATTGAATTTGGTCATCACATTTCGTTACACACCACAAGTGTGGGCGTTGTAAGCACACCCTGAGCGCGGCCCACACCTGCACGCTTATCTTGCTGGCTAATAATTTAGTTTTACTGTCGCCCCGGTGTGGTCTGTTTATTTAAAGTTTTTCGGTGATTGTTATTCTTGGTGAATATCTGAAAAAAAACTGCAAAAGTAATAAGCCATTCCCGAAAATGTTGGTCGTTGATATGTTTATTCTTTTAAATATTCGAAAATAGCGCAGGACCAACTTTCCGACGCTATTTCATTTTGCTTCGGCGATACTTGTAACCGTAGCGGCATTGTTTCTCGTTGCACGTGCAATCTAGTTTACTATAAAGTAAATACTTGTATATATATCGTAGATTCATTACATACAAATACGATTACACATCGACTATTGCATGCGCCTTCGCCATTACCGTTATAGTACAAATTGTCATAAATCTGCAGTTGTGTGCTTGAATTTTCATTTCATTCCTCCGAAACAAAATTGTAAAAGTTCGGCAAATTATGGAGACGATTTTCGGCAATAACAGTTACTTTTTTTGTATACATGTATACATAAATAACTAGTAAACAGACAATTTAATGACAGTTGAAAAGTAATTTACGGGAATTATTTAATTTTCCTTGAGTTATACCACAATTGGCACAGGAAATATTTTTAATTTCTGTTCGAATTTAAGGTTATGACACAATGAATACCAGTAACCTCCCGCATTCCATTCTCCGCCTTAAATGAGTTCGATAAATTGTTAGAAAAGAGTACAGCAAGTATGCAAAGTGCTGACAATCTTTGATTTCGGTATCCGTTTTGTTATAAATTTGAGAAAAGTTTGAGTTTTGTTTACATTCGGCCATTTTACAAACATTCCAAACCAAATAAAAACAAAAAAAATGTGTCGATTGCACCGAAGCTATTGTACTCTTCGCAATTAAAAAAGTTTTCCATACAACAACTTGATTTCGATTCATCAATTTGTATGACAGCTATATGCTATAGGGGCCCGATTTCGTTCGGAAATTGCACCGTTGCTCCGGGGAATAATCTTGTGTTGTTGTCCAAATGTTGTGAAGATAAAGAAGTTTTCAATGGACTTGATTTTGATCGATCAGCTTATATGGTAGCTATACGTCATAGTGGTTCAATATCAACCGTTTTGACAAATGAACAGTTTCTGAAGAAAAGCGCGAGAGAACTGAGAGATCAGTTTGCGTATTTGTATACGGCCGGACAGACGGAGATGGCTAATCGACAGCTCGTCGCGCTGAATATTTATGTATGTACATATTTAGTTTAGAAAGACTCCGATGTTTCTTTATGCGTGTTACAAACTTTGCGGCAAACTACGTATATACCGTTCAGGGTATAATTATGATTTCAACGATGCGCATAACCAAACCCTGGACTCATTCATTTTAAGTTCTGTTATGCGGCCGTAAATAGAAAAATATGTAAAGTGTTTTAAAAAATATCCACATACTATAATATTTTAACCAAGAAATAAGGCATTAAATGATGTAAAGATTTATAAAATTCAATATGTTTTTTGCTTTCAGACCAATCCCTCGCATATACGCCACCACAAACCCATGCGAGAGGCGCGCGAGCTGGAAACAGCCGTTTCGGGAATACACTTCGTGATCACACCGCAACATTTCAGCGCTGGAAAATTAAAGGTAAGCGAAAGAAATGATGAAAAATCTCGAATAACTTGAAGCATTCGCAAAAATGGAATTTTGTATTTGCTGCGTGCCTACTTAACTAGTAGACGGCATTTCCTCACGAAATAGACGAGTGTGCATACACAAGTATTTTATAGCAATAATGACAGCAAATGGCTCACAAGTCATTCAAGTCACAGCAGCCCAAACGCGTGAAGTCTGTTAGTGGAGAACAAGTGCCGCTAATTAAGCTAATACGCGATAAACAAAAACTTCAAACGGCAGTTGGGCAACAGCAGCACGGCGTATAATTGAAATGCCCACAAGCAGATAGTGCCAGCTGAAATTGCGTTGCGGCGACACAAAAAAATTGCCTCGACGAAGGAAAGCGAACGCTTTGCAAGAAAAACAGTCCGACGCGTAGTCACGGTCAATTTTTATGAGGTCACGTTGCTGTTTAACCGCCCAACAACAATAATAGCACACTTTAAGTAGCAACAAAGTACCGTTGGCGTTATTTTGGAGGCGTTGAAAGGGTGTGTACGAGCCCGAAACAAACGACCATAAAAGCATATAAACAATTTAATGTTCCTTCTACTTAATTGGCCGCAATGAATATGCGTCCGTTATGTTGCAGAAGCACATATTTTGTTCGGACTGCTACATAGTAGTTGGAGGCGCCGCGGCACACACGCGCCATTTAAACCACTTGATGCGATTTAATTGTTTCTTTTGCACAGTTGCGTGTTCTGTCACTTCCCGAAAAAAATGCAACCAACGAAGAGCGGATGTGCGTGTGTCTGCTGTCATGCTGCTCTTTCGATTGCCTTTGCCGCATGGCAAGCCACCCGCTGTTCATAATGCTTGAATGGTTTATTACTTGCGTGCGCCATTCGTATTCGCTGACCAACCAAGAAGTCAAAAACGCAGCAAACTGTGTGCTTAGACTTCGAAAAAAGTAAACAAATAGCGTTGCAACAGCTGGGTCGCAAGTGCAGCGCTGGTCGACCGTTGAGCTCGTTTGTAGTCGTATAATAAAGCACACATTCGGCGCAAATGTGTAATTGCTTTTTATGGCACAATAGAGCCAAACAAAGCGTTTTATGGTATAGAGAGAGAGAAGAAGACAGTTAAGACAGCTAAGGCTGTCCGATAGGAAATATAGAATTTTTTATCCTTAAAGCAACGATATTTTCGGCTATTGAAATAATCGCCTATTGCAATAATCAATACTAAGAGTAAATAATTGAGTATTATTTGCCAGTGAATAGTAGTACTTGGAATCAGTAAGTGATGACCGTAATACCAGGAAGCACGAAAAAATTAATTTTGTTCATAAAAACTGTTATGAATGAAATCATCAAAAAAGTCAAGTAACGTGAAGTTCGTCGAGATAGCTCGCAATCTAAAGATATGAAAGGAAAGTGTTTGACTTGGTTCTTGAATATTTAGATTAATTCAGTGTAGCGAGAGCTCTCTCGGTTTCGTAAGAACTCACAATCAACACAACACAACGTGTTCCAATTAACGGAAAAGCAACGCATGATGACATGAAGTGGGATTCAATTAGGTTTAGCATCTACTGCATTTACCGGTTCTGGCTCTGAAGACAAACAAAAAATGAATCGCCGACAAAGAGGCCAGTTTTAAAGCAAAGTAAAAATACTAAAAGTTGATAAGTCGCTATAAAAATAGCATATAACATACTTCGGTGGCAGTTATATACTAACATACTACTATATTGAATAAAATCGAAATTTGAAAAAAAAAATCAAAATTATTTTGCTGCAAAACGATTAAACTTTGCCTTTTAGCTGACAAAGTCCGCGCTTTTATATTTTTAATATATTTATAACTATTAATTAAGTTATTGCTAACTACTTATTTTTAACACAAATAAACTCTGCACTTTCTAGATACGCTGTACTGCACACATTCACGATGTCTACTGGAAATCGACGGAGAAGTCGATTGAAGAGGAGCGTCACAAACACAATATTAACGCGGTCAATACATTTTCAGATGATTACTTTGATTCGGGGGATGACCAACTGATAGATCGATCCGACACATACACGACGCACATAAAAGGTAAGAGCGAACGAAGTGCAAGTGATAATTCACGAACGATTACGCTCTGTGAATAAGTAATCATTCTCTCACTATAAGCTCTCAGCTAAGGTTTGGACAGGAATAATATAGTACATTTACGTACAAAGGCCGCGCACTGGCCATCCATAGAGTTATTTAATATCTTGATAGTAATTACATGTATGTCAGTTTAAGATGTTAGAAGAGGAGAGCAATATTCATATACACATTTACTTATAAAAATTTAAGTAAAATTCTGTCCACATGCGGCTAAAAATAGTATTACCTTCAAGCGCAAACAAAAATCTTCTGGAAAATAAAGATGAAGCGAAGAAGCAAAACTCGTAAGCTTCAAACTTCAAGGGTGGTACAACATATTAAAATCAGGTACATATATTATATTATACTGTATGTATATTCAAGAGAAATGCAATTTTGGCGCTTTACTTCAATACAATGTTGGCCAAAAAAGGACAACAAAATAAAAGTAGGTTGACTAACTCTACATACATACTTGTACATACACATATAAGTGCAGTACATAGGTAAGCAATGTGCATACACTTCCTCATAAAGGAGATGAAATTTGTTAGGAATAAGTGGTGAAAAATATTACCGAACTCAAAAAGCCAGCAGTGACGTGTGCAACAAGGCAAATAAAGCTGAAGCTCAAAACAGGGGAGACAGTCCAAAAAGTGAGTTGCGAAATCTAGAACAAGTGCAATGGAAACTGTTGCAAGCTTGCAGCCCGCCTTGCACCTTTCCTGCTGCTTATGAAGTTAAATAAGTACACATGTATATTTCATAGCAATTCATTCACTAAAAGTTTTTCGTATGCACACACAAGAGTACATTTATCAAATTGCTAAGTATGTCGTGAAATATTTTATATAAACTAACTGGCGCTGTTTAGAATTATGACGATTTGAATATGGTTTTGCCATGAGAAAAAGAAAAGATGCATGACATACACACAATCATCATCTATAATGCACATTTTTGTATGTGTGTAACGGGAAAGTGTCATGTAAGCGCATTCACAGACAGATGGTCACATACGGAAGCTTTAAATTTATAAATATTTACGGAAGAGTGGAGTTAAGGATTTACTTTAATGGCTTCGGAAGAATTAAATGGGAAGGTTCCACTCAATTTGAAAAGTTAAAGAACTGCAATAGATTAATTCTTCTCTATGGAATTACACAATTTCTAAGAAATAAAACGCAATATGCACTTTAATTTAAGGGCTACAGGTATTCAATGCAGTAATTTTATTTTCTTCAAACATAAATTACTTTCACCTGGTTGAGCATTCTTGTTCAAAATGTAACTGTAATTTAAGCGCAAATAAAGCAATGGAAATAGTTGTTGAAGAAAATTATATTCTTCTTTTATTTAGCAGGCATTCATGCCACACAATACAACTGCATTTTTAACTTAAACTAAGCCTCTTATATAGATTGAACAAAGGCTTTTATTCTGAAATTCAGCCTTAACTACTTTTTATATGAATTCCACCTGCTTTATATTTATTTGTGCAGGCAAGATTTTATTTAGACTTAGACTAAACATATTAGACCAAAATTAGACTATGTACCATCCGATCAAATTTGACCCGAACCGACAAAAAAAATCATTTTCATATAATTCAATACAAATCTTTATTATCACCTTCAAAATAGGGTCCTGAGCCAATACAAGCAGGTCGACGTCATATTCATAAACTCACTTCTCGTCACAAGTAACGACATGTGATGAATATAGGGTCATCATCTAAGTTGACAAGCATATCTTTAGCGACCTCTACTCAACTATTCAAGCACTGTTTCTTTAACTTTTTCGATGTTATCGTGGTTAATAGAGGCGGATGGACGGCTAGCAGGAGGCAAGTTTTCGGTGACCTAACGATCTTCGCTGAATGTTTTGGAAAAATAAAATTTTAAGCAAACTTATTGTTTAATTATCAGACGAACTTTTCGGTTTGTAAGTGCCGTTTCAGACAGGGATTCAAAAGAGTCTGATGTTTTTCAAATTTTCTTTTGGTGTCGCTCTGGGCATTCACACGGCCAAAAAGAGTCCAGCAACTCGAGTCTAGTTTTTCTGCATTCCTTTTCACAAAATGTTCGTAAATATTTGTGCGGTTCGACTGCGCAACACCGCGCAACACTGCGTGCTGCGTATTTCATTTGTATGTTGAGATGATGGTCACACATTTTGCTTGCAATGAATTACCATGAATATGGTAGAACAATATGCATAATACAAGTACCTACCCGCTAAATAGTTTCAAAAAAATACTAAAGACGGCAATTCCCTAATCCACAAGAATGTATTGAATATCCGCTACTAATATTTTCAAGGCCAAATTTATAATAGGAATTTCCTAATCTTTAAGTATTAAAAATTCATAATTTCTTTACTCCATAATCTATATCTTAATTTTCTCCTTATTTACAATTTGTCATAATATTTCTATTATTCTATGCATACGTATTTGCATATTACATACAAAAATAGATAACAGAACTCAAATTTGCGATCGAATTCATTTGAATCCGAGCGCTCTTGCAACCATTCAAAGGATTTGAAAGTGAAAAGGAATGCTGAAAAGGGTAGCAGCGAGCTGTTACGAACAAGAACACAAAGCGTGCCACCCGAACACGAGTGGCACGGTCCCTTCGTCTTTCCTCGTCGTCCCCTCACCCACAATAAACTGGTATGAGACTCTTTTGCGTCCCAATGTGAAACGGCACTAAACAAACAGCTGCCAAGCATACACTAACACATATATGTAGATCAAACTACACACGAACATTAAAAAGGTTGTCCCAATCTAGAACCAAGACCGTGTTAAATTTGATCAGATGGTAAAACAAGTGTAGAAAAATATTTTCTTGGTATACAACACGCGCTCTCTGTAGTTTTTAAGGAACATTCTTCTAAGAGTTAAATTATCCACCAAAGGGTTGAGATTCTCGCAAGCTCGCGGTAAAAAAACTTGTGGTCACGTTACAAAGGCCGCTAGTATACATTTATATGTCTGTAGTGGTTCGTCAGGTTTTGTGTACTTTGTGATTAAGTTCGAAAGCAGCATATTTTCTTTTGTCTCTTCAGTTGGAAGTACATACTTCGGATCTTGTTGCATCCTTCACTGGAATACCAATTAAATTGCACTCTTCATTGTTTGCAGCAAGCAAACACTTCAAGAGCACGCACACTCATACACAGACACAGACACTTTACATATTTGCTTATCTGCAATTGGTTATACTCTTTGCAGGTGCTGTCTCATCCTTGAATGCCAATGGCGCAGCACAACAACATTGTCATTGCCTGTCATTGCTGGTGCGTGGGACGACACTGGCCCTGGCGGCCTGGCATGCTATGCGATATTTTCACCAATTATGCCGGCAATTGTTTGTTTGGCGTGAAACAATGGCGTCAAAAGGAACAACAATACAAGCAATCAAAACAACAAAAACAGCGACAACAACCAGAGTGCATAATAGAAGCTTCACGCGAGCCAAAGGGCAACTATTAAGTGGGACAAGTGCTGACGAGGCAACTTCAAAAGCTGCCGTAATGACAACACAAGCGCCAACAACAACAGCAGCAATATTTGCAGCAATGCCTGTTTGCCGCAGCAACTGGGCAGTCGCCGTCGAGCAAACAAAATATCGAACGCGAAATGAAACGACGAATTCACAATTAATAGAGAGAATCAACGTGCAGCAACAATTACAACGCCGGCAACAACAGCACCGACAGCAACAACATATAGTTGGGTTTGAAAAAAGGCCAACAACACAAAAGCAGGCACTTAAACTACAAAAGCACTCGCCGAAAGGGGCGGCAACACTGCCAACAATGCGAATAGCAATTAAAGCGAAAACAGCTAAAACAACGGCAAAAACAGCAACAGCAAGTGCTGCAATTCCAACAAAACTATTGCTCGCGCATGCAACAGCGACAGCAACATGATTTTCTCATTTATAGAATATATAATATATAGTAGATAAAAACAAAATAAAATCATAAAAAAGTAGTGTGGAGTGGACGAGGGAAGCACGACGAACTTCGTTGACAGCAAAATTATTCTCTTTGGCATTATTGATGAGTTCTTCTCGCATTCTCTCAGACACTTATAAACTCCTCTTAAAACTGAATCCAACTGCATTTCGAACGGATGTGTATTTCAGACATTCAAAATCCGAAAATTCTCAAAAACTAGCGTTTAAAGCGATTTAGAATTTGCGTTTTTCCGACTAACTAAAATGACCATAAGCCATTTGATGCCAACCCCCAAGCAGTTTGTGCGCAAGCAATTAATACGAACACAACTACCATATATAACTCTAATAACTCTAGGCGTGTGCTATAAAACGTCAGCTACGCATTGTAATGAAGATTACACACACACACACACCACACACGCGCATACATATACATATGTACTGAAAAACGCCTACATATGGAATATATATTTACACATGTATATAGTTACAAACGTACATATGTTGTACTTATATTGTAATTATGTACTCGATCAAATTGCTAATTTCTCTATGTAATTGAAACCAACAATTTGATTTTGTTTTCAAAATCCAATACAAATATCAATTATAAACGCTTAATTTGCCGACTGAAGTATGTACTTAGGTGTGTACACTTTATTTTGCCCACGACTAAATAGTACGTTACTGAATGTTTACTCATTACTAAAAATATTTTGTTATGTTTTCAAATAATAATTATTAAGGTAAGTAATCATACTCGTGCAAATATGTACATAAAAAATCAAAAAAAAAAAAAAATAAATAAATAAATTAAATAAAAAAGTGTATTGTTAGCAGCCAAAACCAAACAAATCTCCATACTACAGTTATGCATTACTTTACCGTTATATACAAATATACGCCAAATAATATAAAACTAATTTATGTACTTGTAACCAATGTGTAAATGTGTGCAGATGTAAGTACTTTGGAGAAAATAAGAAGGAACGTCTTGGAGCAAAGAGATATACTTCTTCTTACACTATTTTCTATATTTTTATTTTAAACATTTTAAACGTTGTCTTTATGTGCTAGATAATTGTTTAATGTAATTAAATAATAATATTAATTTAAAAAAGTTTTGATTTACGAGGTGTGTCCTAAAAATAATTGCTTTTGGATATAGAATAAATAATGCACATAATATTGTCCGTGAAAGTTTATTTTTATTCCAATTAGGTCGCATTAGACGCAATACAACGTTTGGAACAATCAAACATTCGCTGCATATATGCTGAATGGCTAGAGGGATATCATCATAAAATGCTACTTTCATGTTGGTCTTCTTTTTCATTTGAAGAGATGTCTTCACATGTCTTTTCCATGGGTTATGGGTCAAAGGCAACAGTTAAATCTCCGAAGAAATTATTCCATTTTGGTTTGGTGATACATGAGCTGAAAAGTACCGGGCCTAACAAAAAAATACGGTTTTTTGTTTTTGTTCAAAATTGTATTTATTTATCAATATTATATCCATCAAGAGCAACACAATTATTCCAGCGCCGCTCTAACTTTTCAATACCGCTTTTGTAGAACGATTTGTCTTTTGCCTCAAAATAGGCCGTTTCAGTGCTAACCTCTTCATTTGAGCGAAATTTCTTACCGGCGAGCATTTTTTTGAGGTCTGCGATCAACCAACTCTGGAGAATAAGGTGGATGCGGCAGTAGTTCAAAGAACAATTCACGCATTGTTTTGATTGACTTGTGACACGGTGCGTTGTCTTGATGAAGCAAAGAATTTTTTTCCCCCCATATGCGGTCGCTTTTTTACAATTTCGGACTTCAAACGTTCCAATAACGCTATAAAATAATCACTATTGATGGTTTTTTCCTCCTCAAGATGGTGGATGAATATTACACCTTTCATATCCCAAAATACTGAGGCCATAACCTTTCCAGCTGATTGTTGTGCTTTTGCGCGCTTTAGACTAGGTTCACTGAAGCTGTCCACTCAGATGATGATTGTTTTGATTCCGGAGTGACATTTGCGTACCTTCTTTTTCACATCATAATTTTATGAAGTTATTTTTAATGCTGCAAATTTTCAATAGATAACAGGGACACACCTTGTATAATTCCACAAAACAAATAGAAAAATTCTTAACAGGTCCCTGTATATTATATGAACTGTATTGATATATCTTGAAACCTTTTTCTCAAAAATTTGTTGAAAAAATCCGAGTCGAATTTCCTAATATTTCTTCTCAAAGTCCTATTTATTTAATCTTCTACACTTAAGTAAACATAACGGAAATCTAAAAACACTTCGGCTACTGGTTTTTGTAGTAAAGCCAAGAAAATAATAATTAAAAAATATTTATAAATATATAAGTATAAATAAAAAATTAATACTTGGATATGTGTAGATAAGTAAAGATACGTACTTTGTTAAACAACCCTAAGCAGGTTTCCCTTATAAAAAGACGAATAGAGTTTTAGACAACCGAAACAAAAATTATAATTCATAAGCCAAAGAGGAAATCAAAAACAAAACTGAAAAAAAAACATAAATTTAATTAAAACCGTATTAATAGAAAATATTTTTTTTTTGTAAGTACTGAAGGCTGCGGTTAAATGTAAAAAACATTATTAACAATATTTATTATTAAAGTATATGAGAATAATATATATTACAAATAAATAAATACTTTAAAAGTAGAGCTAATCGTAGACCATTTCGAGATACAAATGTTGTGAAAATAACGTATGCATTTAAAAGCATAATGGTGCGAAGGTTAATGCAAATCTCGCAATATGATAAAGCAAATAACTTAATATATAGATATTGTATACAAATTATACAAAAATATTAAAAATCAGAAGTAAACATATAAACATAATATATAAAATATTAAGAAAAGTATGCTCATCTACAGAACTACTTTAAGATCGAGCATAGGAACCAGAAAGCTATTTGCACCGAAACTTCAAACTTAAGCTTTTTTGCCTTTCCGAAGATAACACTGTTATTTCCACGTTTTATTTTTTTAGAGGTTAAAAATGTATTTTAAAATTAGCTAAAACAAATCGCTGTAAATTATCAAAGCAAAACTCGCACATTTTTAGCTTTTAAGACGCGCACTCAATTTTTAGTTATTTACCAAGTAGTTAGTAGCAAAAGTTAGAGTTTTCTTTGTTAAGAGCACTTAGCTATGCCGGTCAGAAAAGAACTCAGCTATAAAATATATAGGAAATAAAAGTATATATAAACTTGTAAAGTAATGTAATATTTAAATAAATATTTAAAATTAAAAAAATAATACTTTATTTTGTAAAAAGCTAAAAATATTTAAAAAGTGCATACAGTCGCTTAAAAAAGTATGGGTAAACAGCTGATGCACATGAGCAATGTGCATATAACAAGCTTAAATAATGAACTGTATTTAAAAGAAGACCTATATATATATATATATATATTATATAATTGTATAAATATAGCATAAGCATTAATGTATTACTACAAATAAACTGCAAATATGTATTTATGGGAATAATATTTATGTATATGAAAGCAAATGTTAATCCATTAGCCTCCCGCAGCAACACTTAATAATATTACGAAAAGCGTTAAACCAAAGAGTAAACTGTGTGTTTTCCATTAAAAACATTTTTTCCACTCATTCGTGCAACACAAATGTATAATCATATTTTCGTAGAATAAATGCATACAAATACTGCTGCAACAAAGTAAACACAAAAAAACAAAAAAACAAAAACACAAATACATACATACACTTTTTGTGAAAACATGTCTATATTATTATGCCAAACATAATTACAATGTATTATATATACACACACATACAAACATATACGATAACTATTAATATACACACAACCACACAGACATTGTGAAAACACTATAGCAACTATATTCAGAAAAATACAGTTAAAAAACACATAATTAATTGCTGCGAATGTGTGCGATACAACCGTGCCGTAAGAGTGAATACGTTATTTGATTAAATGCAAATATTTCAGTTATAATTAAATTAAGTGCTCAAAAAACTGACAGATATTTACAAAAAGCTCCCCCGACGCAAAAATTTACACCACATAATTATGATTTATCCATAAATAATTAACTTGTTTCCCCGACTTATGGACCACCCGAGAAAAAAGCATTAACAAATTTTCGTTGGAGTTAAAAACAAATAAGAAAATTATAACGAAAAAAATTAAAACGAGATTTTAGTAAGCAGCGTTTTCGCGCTAAATATTTAGTTTTAAATAATATTAGTTGCTAAGTTGTATAAAAAAACAAATGTCTATGGAATACAGCCAAAATGAAAGCAAACAAATGCATGAATAAAGAACTTATAAAAACACTGAAAACTAATTCGATTTTTTATTGATTCTATCTAATTTTCACAGCAATAAACAAACATATGTATATTGCGAGCGCATGTGAATAAATAAATGTGGTGTCTAAATTCATGGCCAGAAATATATTTAGGAAGAAAGAAAAAAAAAAAAACAAGAAAAAACGTTAACTTCGGTTGCATCGATTATAGCCCTTCACAAGCATAAAGGTTCCTTAGAAGAACTTGATTCCGATCGTTCAGCCTGTGTGGCAGCTATATGCTATAGTCATTCGATCTGAACAATTTCTGCGGATATTCTATTACTGCCTTAATGATACGTACGAATTTCGTAAAGATATCTCTTCAAATGTAAAAGTTTTGATTTCGATCGTTCAGTTTGTATGGCAGCTATATGCTATAATGGTTCGATATCGGCCATTCCGACAAATAAGCAGCTTCTTAGTGTCATATCTTAAATTTAAGATCGATATCTCAAAAAGTGAAAGACTAGTTCGCGTATATATATACAGACAGACGATCGGACAGACAGACGGACATCGCTAAATCAACTCAGTTCATCATGCTGATCATTTATGTATACATTTTATTTGGTCTCCGACGTTTCTTTCTGCATGTTAAAAACCTCGTGGCAAACTTAATATACCCTGTTGTCATCCAGATCCAATGACAAGGGGGGTGAAGCCGGAGTTTTCGAAGGGGCACGTATTTTTCAAAAAATTAAGTGAATTATTTAGAATTAAAATGCTTTGAAGAAGCAATTTAATTAGTAAGAAAAACTTTCCACGTCATAGTCGACAGCTTTATCTGTGGAATGAAGCGAAGATTCGCCGCAGTGAGTGACATAAACGAATCGTTCTCATTTCTATGGCAATTCCATGATATGAAAGAAGATGAACTTAACGAAGCTGCAAAAATTTTGGAAAAAAGTATTGAAGCTATACATCGTCTTACTTCATACAGTTTATTGAATGCCAAATATTTGCATCGCTTTGAGAATATTTTGCACTTTACCCATTTCTGTTTCAAGTGGTGAACGTTCGTTTAGTGCTCTAGCAAGGATCAAAAATGTTTATCGATCATGCTTGTCACAGGGCAGGATTTCAGGACTAGCTACACTGTGCCTAATGGCAGAATTAGCCAATAAGTTGGATTTCCAGACTACTATCGACTTACTTCTAAATTCCAAATAATTGAAGATTGTCGAATTTTTAACTGCATCTCCAAAAACTTACTCATGCTAGTCAACAGATTAAAAAAGAACCGTTTTTTCATTAATTATGTAGATCGATAAATAAATGTTTTAATGAGATGTTTCTGTTTCCTTATTAACTGACAAGTCTTGCTATCCCTATATACATATTTTATATATTCCAGTATAATCTGAAAAAATATTTTTTACTGAAAGTCTATGTATGAACTGATTTATACATAATTGATTTTCAAAATCCAAAAACACAAATTTGTTCCACGGAACAACACCAAGAAAGTATCTAATACAGATGTGAAGGGAGCATAAAACACTACGTATTTGACTTATTATACAAAAACATTGAAGTGGTAAGTGGGAAGGTCCTGTAAGGAGGCGGCCACTTTACTTTACCTTTTTACCTCTGGGCGCGATTTTTTATTCTCGGCGGCCCTGATGTAATCATTAGAAAAAACAAGAAAATACCTAACTTCGGCTACACCGAAGCCATAGTACGCATTATAGAGGCTATAAAAACATTTCAAACGCAAAAATGGTATAAAAAGATGTATGAAAAATTCCATACAAGGACTAGATTTTACCGCTCTGCTTTTATGGCAGATACATGTTAAAGTATATGATTGGAGATTATAGCATTGTCTTGAACAATTATCTGTACGAAATTTTGCCAAGATATCTCTTCAAATAAAACGGTTTTGCATATAAGGACTTCATCGACTAATTTTTATGGCAGCTTATATATATATGATATTTATATATATGTATGCCGATTGGAGCGATTCCCAGTAATGAACAGTTTCTTAGGAAAAAAGAAGGTGTGTAAAATTTTAGATCGATATCTCATAATATTAGGGACTAGTTCGCTTATATACAGACAAATAGATGAAGAGACGGATAGACAAATACTCGGACATGGCTCTACCAACTCAGCTTGTCACTCCGGTCATTTATTACTATACTTGTATATACCGACGTTCCCTTTTTGGTGTTACAAACTTCTTAGCAAACTTAATATACCCTGTTCAATGCATAATATAGTGATCATTCAATTCTTATGGAAGCAAAGAAGAAAAAGCAAGGTAATTTCTTATTACTGCTATTAAATAATTTCGCTTTTCTAAAATCTTTTCCCTCACTACTCTCACATACTTTCAATAATATAATATTCCACTCCTTCAATATATCATTTATGTATATGTATCTAAGGCTAAAGGCCTTTTATACCACATAAGTTCCCTAAACTTGTACGACTATACTAAAATAATTATATTTGTCTAAATTCTATACTATTATAACCCTAAACATTAAACCGTTAATGCTTGCAACATGAATATTTCAGATTAAAATCTGAAGAAAAAGCTTTCCACCGGTTAAAACAACCAGCAGCATTTGCATAAATTGCAAATAATTTTCGTCATATCATGCTTACAAATGTAGAAAGCAGTGTATGCTTATGCAACATAATTCTCCGAAGCATGTGCCACATACAAACACTCATTAAAACTCGTTTAGGCATGCCTTCTGTTTTACTAGTTCTCGCAACCGACTAACGGCGTGATTGCTTGTAATTACGCAGAAGTAAGTTGACATTAGAGACGTCAGTGGTGGCCAGGATACATCAAGTCAAGCGTGTGTGCCGGCACTTTTTCGTACAAAACATTTAAATATTCGCAAATTAAATGCAGTTGCATTTTGACAGCTTCATTATTTACCGCGCACACATGAACAGTTGGGGAAACATGTGGCACAGCGCTCGCTCGCTTTTTGTTTATCGCTTATCCCGCCATGTAGCGAAATTGAAAATTATGCAGCAACAACAAAAAGCAGCAAATCAGTGGCGCTACCCATATAACAGCCACAAAATTAATAACTCCCATGCGAACACACACATCCACATGTGTGTGTGTGTGGGTTGGTGCGCATGTGCCGGTGTTGGAACGCGCGCTATATTGCCACAAACGGTGACATTTGCTACAGCACTCGCAACATCGACAGCAGCAACACTGCGGCACATAGTTTCACTCATTTCGGTCATTATGCAAATGCAATCAGTTAGCGGCATTAAAATTGGCTTCAATGTGGCTTTAGGCATCACAGTTGCGCTTAGCTGGATGCCAACAGAGATGCAGTTGCTGTTGCTGCAGCCGCTGCACGTTACTGCTGCTGATAACGGTGGGTGCCAAATGGATAAAAATAGAAAGTATAATCACGTAATGTGTGCTATTGTGTGTGTGCGCACTTGGTTTTAAACTCGCAAAACTCACTGCAAAATATTAATTTCAAGCTGCGATCAAATGCCACACAACTACGCAGCAGAAGAAGACATTATTTAGTGCATAAACACTTAAAAAAATTTCAGCCAAATTAAGATACTTGAAATATGGGAAATCAAGTTGACACAAAGAGCTTTTGGCATAAAAACGCTCAGATTAAAATTAAAAGTAAAGCTTATTTAAAAGTATAAAAATTTAAAGGAAATAATGCAACTAAAATAAGCACGAAATCCTGTTATGGGATTATATCCACTTATGAATTCCAAAAATCGATTTTCGCATATATATCGGTTGTACATATATTTGGAAATATTATTCGCAAATCTTAAGATTTTTTCGGAGATATGAGCGTGTTTATATTAAATTCGTGACTTAGTGCAATCGGCTACCAAAACTTCAAGCGGTTTTTCTCGTAGCGCTATTTTCAGAGTCGGCGAGGAAATTTTTACCCAAACGGTTGGATCGATCAGCTTTTCACACTTCTACATCTTATATATGTATATTTAACAGGTAATGGTCGAAGGAATAAGATGTTCGATAATAATACTGGTCAACTGCACTTTTGCGCACGAGTTATACATACCTTATTCTTTTTGCGTCTTTACTTCAAAATAAGAATATAAATAAAAAATAGTTCTGTATTTGCTTTTATGTATGGTAAAAATACACAAAAATTTTACACATACAAATTTTTTAGAACTATCGATATATTCTTACAATAGAAATTTTAAAATAGACTGCTAATATTTAAAGATGAACAGTTTTTAATATCGTTAAATTTATCTAAATGAGGATGACAGAGAAATTCGTAATCATATCAGTGATCAGTTCGTCATATTTGTCAGCCCTGTGGTTTTCAAGGGAACTAACATTGTTAAGCACTAAGACCTTAAACCTGTTTTTTCGTCACATTGCTAAGTAACTACGGGAAAACATCTCAATCAAAAACTTTTTTTTTATTTGAGGGCCTACAAAGATTTCATTTTTTATTTTAGACTCTGAAAGCTTTAGAAAAAATTCTTATAATATTTAAAAGGCTCCCTTCAAGCTCTCAAAACTGCAAACTTCTGTACCATTTTCACCAGCCAGCAGTAAAACGTAACATATTATAACCTAATTAATGTTAAAAAAATATTTAATAATTATTATAAAAAAAAGTAAATAAATTTCATCATTCAGAAAATATCTGCAAGAGTTACAAGACATATGTTGAGCTCATTTGTAGATTGAAGTAAGCTTTTCCTTATATCATACTTTTTCTTTCTCATTTTAATAAATTCGCAGCAAATATTTCAAAACGAGTCAGCGCCTCGTTCACAACTTCTCGAAGACATTTGGTACTGGTTGTTACAGTTAAAACAAAATTATGAAATTCGTTATTTGTGTGCATTGTGCAAACACATACTGTCGTACACAACGAGCTATGCAAACAACACTACCTCCAGTGTTCTACCTCTCTTTTGAGAGCAGCAGCCCACGACCTTTTTTGGTCGCGAAAATCGAAAATGGGCAGATCGCTATAATTGCTTG